AACGGGGGGGGGTCCCTGCCAGGCCCCACCTTGACCTCGTTGTAGAAATACTTCTTGTCATCAGGGTAGAGCAGGTCGGCGATGCCGAAATCGGCCACCTGCACCTGGCTGGGCGACTTGAGCAGCACGTTGCGGGCGGCCAGGTTGCGGTGCACCATGCGGTGCTCCTCCAGGTAGTACATGCCCTGGGAGGGGGGACACACCGGGGGTCCAGCGGCACCGAGGGGGACCGGGACAACCCCACCCCCCCGCAGGGACTCACCTTGGCCACCTGGACGCACCAGTTGAGCAGCAGCTGGGGGCTGATGGAGTCGCGGTTCTTGCGCACGTACTCCAGGACGGAGCCGAGGGGCAGGAGCTGCGTCACCAGCTGGAGCTGCGGCCCGGGGCAGATCCCCAGCAGCCGCACGATGTACGAGTGGTCCAGGCTGCCGATGGCCAGCATGTGCTGGGGGGCACAGTGTGAGCCACGGCCCGGCCCCCCCTGCCCACGGGGGCTCCCCCGGGAACACCCCCGGCCCCTCCCGGACTCACGTCGGTGACAGCGTGGAAGGACTGCTGCCCACTCCAGTCCTGGATCACCTTGATGCTCACTGGGATCTTGATGGAGTCCCCATCTGGGATCCAGATGCCCTGATGGCATGGGGGGGGTGGGATGGAATGGGGTGGGATGGGATGGGATGGGATGGGATGGGGTGGGGTGGAATGGGGTGGAATGGGGTGGAATGGGGTGGGATGGGACGGGATGTCCCGGTGGGTGCCGTGTACGGCCCTGGCTCACATGGAGCCTCCCCCTCACCTTGTGCACGGTGCCAAAGACGCCAGAGCCCAGAACCTTCAGCCGCTTCAGCTCCGTCTCCTTGAAGATTCGGGCCAGCACCTTGTTGGCCTTTTCACTGGGATCCAGCGGCTCCAAGCTCTGCCGGGGGAGAGATGGGGATGGAGCAGGGTGAGGATAGAGAGTGACTGGGATGGAAACAGAGATGGAGATCTCGGATACAGGTGGATGGAGATGGACAGGACTGGGGCTGGAGAAGAACAGCAACGGCTACAGACAGGCACGGAGATAGGAACAGCCAAGGATGGGCCCCACACCCTTCCCACCTGCTGAGCCCCCTCCCCGCAGCCTCAGGGCTCCCCCCCAGCTCCACTGTGGCCCCCCAAGGAGCAGGATCCCCCAGCCCACCTCTCCCCTCTCCAGGTAGCGCCGCATCGCCCGTTTCTTCTGGATCTTCTTTCCCCGCCAGTAGAGCAGCGCGAGGAGGACGATGGAGCAGGAGAGGAAGAGCCCCCCGACCACCATCACCGCGATCAGCGTCGGCGTCTTCCTGGCCACGGGAGGAGGCCGGGGCTCAGCTCCCGGGGCTCAGCTCCCGGCACGGTCCCCCCGGATGGGCAGGGCAGGGCAGGGCAGGGCAGGGCAGGGCAGGCCCAGCACGGCAAGGCAGGCAATGGCCCGGTGGCCCCCCGGGGGTCCCCACAGCCCCCCGCCCACAATACCTGGACACGGGCAGGGCGTCCCCCAGGCAGTCCCGCAGCAGCGGCCCCAGGCACCTGCCGAGATGGGGACAGGGCTGAGCCGGGGCGGGACCCCCTCTGGCCAGGCAGGGGGTCCTGGGCCCCCCACCCGACCCCTGGGGGGTCCCAGCCCCCCTCCGCGCCCCCCACCCCGCGCACCCGCGGGTACAGTTCTCGTGGCAGGGCCGGCACTCGCGACTGCCGTCGGGGAACTTGTAGATGGGGCCGCGCTCGCCCAGGACGCCGTCGGGACATCGCTCCACACAGTGGGGCCCGTCGCGATAGTGGGCACAGCGGGTGCAGGTGTCGGCGCCCTGGGGGGGACACGGTGTGAGCACCCCGGGGGTGTCAGCGGGGTCCCTGTGGGTGCCCCGGCCGGGCCGTACCGAGCCGTTGCAGGTGATGCCGCCCTCGATGCGCTCGCACTCGGGGTGGCACTCGAAGCACTCGCCGTCCTGGGAGAACTCCCGTACCTCCCTGCGGGCACAGGGCAGGGTCAGCAGCCCACCCGGCATCCGCCCACCCAGGGAGCCCCTGCCAGTGTCTGTCCCATGCTGGGGTCCATCCCAGTTCACATCCCACCCTGGGAGCCCACCCCCAGTGCCCATCTCACCCTGGTAAACCTCCCCCATGCCCATCCCAGCCCGGTGCTGACCCTGCTGCCCACTCCGGGGTCCCTCCCACCCTGTGCCCACCCTGAGGCTGATCCCCCTCTGGTGCCCACCCCATGACCCCAGCCCGGTGCCCTCGCATGCCCAGCCGCCCCCCAGCCCCCCGTGCCCCCTGACCCGTGGGTGAAGTGGCAGGTGGGCACGCAGACCCCGCGCCGGCTGTAGTGGCGGCAGGACAGGCACTGCCCGGGGCCGGGCCCCCAACAGCCCTCGGCCGAGCACAGCGGGTCACACACCTTCCCCTCTTGCTCTGTGGGGAGAAACAGGGGGCTCAGAGCAGGCTCTGTGGGTCCCAACACCCCTCTGGGGGGGGGGCTCAGCAGAGCGAGGCACCCCAGAGGGAGAGGGGGCTGAGCGTGGGGTGCCCGCGGGGTCCCGGGGGGTCCCACATCCCCTGCCCAGCCCAGCCCAGCCCACGCACGGCACTTGCTGCGGGGTCTGTTGTTGCGGATGTCGAGGTCGGCGCGGGAGCGGCTGAGCGCTGCCCAGTGCACCGTGTGCAGGAAGCAGAGCCGCCGGTTCTCGGTGATGTACACGCGGCCCGCGCTCACCTCCCGCAGCGACCGCAGCCCCAGCGACGTCACGTTCTCGTTCTTCATGATCAGCAGAGAGAAGCCCCGGCTGCGGGGAGGGGGGGTCAGGGCGGGGGGTCCCTGAGGGGGGGGCTCCAGGAGCC